TTCCGGACTGGCCGGTCAGGACGGAAGGGACAGAAGAGACAGAAGGAACGAAAAGAGGTGGCGAGAAGACGATGAGGGCCGAGAAAAGCTCATATACGTTCCGCGCATAACTGCCGTATGCATATTTACAGACGCGTGCACTTTCGCGCCTCGGATCCTCGAATCGGAGAAAGACGATTATTTGCATCGCGACACCTCGTCGCTAAACCGGCTGGTTTATTTACTTATTTACTTGTCCGTCGCGCGCAGTGTGTGCCGTGCTCCTCCGCCGATGTCTTTAGCTGTCCCCCTTTACTTTTTCTTATTCCCGCACGAGAGAACCGCTCTCCTCACGCGCGCGCACACGGGGCGTTAAGAGAAACTGCTAATATAGAGAGTTCAGATTTCAAGTGCGATAGATGGAAAGTCTATGATCGGGACGGCAACAATAACCGCGCCACGACAGACTCTTCTTTTCCCCGTCTTGAAATTCACAATAATTTACTTACAAGCGGGCGCTTAGGCGCGCGCGTGGAAAAAACGTAATGATTGCGTGCCGCGCGAAGAGACGGGCGCGGAGTCGCGTCCTTGCCTTCCACCGCACGTCAGAACAGGACGGAAGAAAATAATTACGAGTAAATTTTCGCTCGATTGATGTGATTGACGATATTTGCCGAGTCTAATGGCTGTACGGCTAATACGACGTACGGCTAAAAGCGACGGCTGTATCATTAGCTGTGAGTGCAAGAAACCGATCTGCTATATAGGTGGACGGTGCATGGAGCGCGTGGTGCATTGAACCGTCATTTTTACATCCCAGACGCTATCACATTTGTGCAATTACCGTGACGGTATTATCGACGTGATAATATTCTCGCGCATAACATTTGAGAGAGATATACGCGTTGGGTTATTCGACAAGTGTTTCCACGCGATGCGCGTGTCGCCTAATGTCAATTGCGAATTAAATCAGAGAAATACGGATGTAACGCTGAAAACATTTGCGCGAAACTGTTTCGCTCTGCTGTACGATCGCGCTCGATATATATATATATATATTCTTTCAGGAATCGTTTGAAAAGGAGATGCAACTCGAGTCTCCGGGATGCGTATTTTATTATTCCGGCCGGGTGAAAACGAGACGCGTGCGCCACTCTGTTGAAAAACGACGGCGAGTCGCGTCGACGGTCCGATCGCGTCGTACGCGAAATCGCTTTGCCGTCGCGACGATATGCAAAGTGCAGTCACGGCGCGGCGTGCACATACGGTTTGCATACGGGGCAGACGGTACCCTCCGCGGATTGTTTACAGTATCGAGCATCACGACCGCGCGACACCGACGCGACGGGGATAGACGCGGGGAACCCGAGTGGCTAAAGCGATGTGAAGGAGGTAACGCGACTCGGGAGCGCCCGGGATGCGCCAAAGGGGTGAGGGATGGGTGTCCTGGTAGGGTGCCGGCGCTGGCGAGAAGGCCGGCTCGCGTTAAGGAGGTATTCAACTGGAGGCATGCGGCGCGGTGAATGTCGATGTCGAGACGCGAACGCGCGGACGTTGATATGGTTGTGAGGAACAGGGGGAGAGGGAAACGATGAAGCAAGACGAAGCGACGTCGGTCCATTGGCCGAGAGAAGAGAGAGAGAGAGAGAGAGAGAGAGAGAGAAGAGCAGAGAGAGAGAGGAGGGAGGGGGAGGAGGGAGGAGGAGGAGA